ATTGAGACAAAACTAACAAAGAAAACATTTTTAAAAAACAATTTTTAAAGTTTTAAAAATGCTACAGAATAGGGTCCCAAATTTTTGGATATCAACTTTTCAAAAATGTGCCAAAAATGAAGCTCAATATCTGGGGGCGATGAAGCTGTGATCAATTTCCGGTAGTTTGGCAGTTCGAAAAAATTGTCGAATTCAAATTTAATTGGAAAGACATGCAGGCAGGCAACTTAAAAATATAAAAAAAATACCATACATTTTCTGTGAAACAAATAAAACAGAAGTAAGTTCGACAGGGCCGAGTTGTGAATACCCTCCACCGTTTGGAAGAAATTTGCTAAAATTAAAAAAAAATATGTAAGCAAAGGCTACAGTCGAGTGGGGCCGACCGTTGTATACCCTACAGCACTATGATAAACGATACCGTTTTTATAGGCGAAATACTCGAAAGAATTCCACAAGATATTGTGACAAATAATAAAAGAAAAGTTTCGTTCTCTAATTTTCGAATAATATCAACTTTTTCAACTAATTTGTTCATTTCCAATTTTTTGGTAGATGTTGCACGTAAATGGTCTTCCTAGATCTGGAACCAATATTTCCCAAAGACCTATAATCTCTCAGAAGTGGCAAAAGATTAACATTTATTATTGGTTTTTGACTGAAACGCATCTATATGAGATACAGACATTTGATTATATTCTTCAACGAAATCAGCGTTAACGAAATAGTCAGAAGTGCGTCTTTCCTGTATTTGTGAATTCTCCAAAAAGTCACTGGAATTGACATTTTCGTATTTTGTCTACAAAAGTTGGCAAACTATTTCACACATTGAATATTTTTGGATGGCCATCCGAAACTGCTTGGCTTTTGCAATGTGCGGTAACCCCCATTCAAATGTGCGTGAGGAACTGGCGATAATTAAGACCTGCTGAAAATTTTGCAGTTTTTTGGTCCATTTCAACCCCTAAATATATGGCGATCATCTCCAAAAACAGTAGGCACCGATTCTGACCCTCATCTTATCTCCATGCAAAATTGCGTAAGGATCGGGCCATAAATGCGATCTGTATATGATATCCTGATATCCTAACTACTTAGTTTTGTTAGCTGTAGAAATATTACCAAATGTTTAATTCAAAATGAAAATATGACAAAATTGAAAAAATATTAGAAAATGTTACAAAATCAATATTTTAATCTGTAGAGAGATATTTTTATGCGATTTTTTAGACGTTTTTTCTTTCCTGCCAAGAGGCCATTCAGAATTAATGAGAACTGTCGAAATCAGTTCAGCCGTTCTCGACATAACCCCACTTTCGTGCAAAATTTCGTAAGGATCGGGCCATAATTGCGACCTGTAGCGTGATTACAAATTAACATGGACAGGCGGACAGACCGAAGGACGGTCATACATAGCTAGATCGGCTCAGCTCGGCGATCTAGGAAGATCCATATATACTTTCCTATATGGGAAACCAATATTTCGAGGTGTTACATAAATTCTGGCCCAATCAAACTTATAATACCCTGAACACATAGTGTTGTAGGGTATAACAAGTAAAAAAGCAGTAATTTCGGCCGGGACGAACTTTGAATAGCCTCCACCATTTCAGGGGGTAAAGTGCTCACAAATAACTCCTTGTGCAGAATTTCAGACAATTCCCTTAAAAAATGTGGCAAAAATCATTAAAATACCGAATATGGGGGATACCGTTATATGGGGGCTATACGATATCGTGGACCTATATAGACAATTCTTTTTCAGGGGGTAATAGGCTCACAGGGAACTTCTTGTGTGGAATTTCAGACAATTTCATTGAAAATATGGCTAAAATCATCAAAATACCGAATATCGCGGGGTAGCGTTATATGGGGGCTATATGATGTCATGGACCTATATAGCAAATTATCCTGCAGGTTGTAAAGTGCTCACAAAGAACTCCTTGTGTAGAATTTCAGACAATTCCCCTAAAAAATATGGCTAAAATCGTTAAAATATCGGGGGGTACAATTATATGGGGGCTATACGATATCGTGGACCGTTATGGCCCATCTTCGAACTTAACCTGCCTGACACAAGACAGATCTGTGCAAAATTTTAGCTTCCTGTCTTAATTTGTAACGTGCCAAGTCTGAATGGAATCTGATGTTAATTTCGAGATCTGTTAGCTTCATGGATATTCAAAATTTTGAAGGACTGGACCGATATACATATTCCATCTTCACAGCAGATCTTCTGTTAGCAGTAATAATGGGATATAAGAAATATGAAGAGAACCTAATGTTTAATTCGGATTTTATAATCGGTTTGGTCATTCAAAATGTTGACCTTTTGTGGGGGGAGGTACCAGAAGGAGTGGACCGATACATTCCATCTTCACATCAGACCATGGGAGAATAACATATTGTGTAATTATAAGAGTTATAATTATTCAAAATGTTGACCCTTTGTGGGGGAAGTACCGATAAAGTCAATTTTCACACCGGACCTAGCACAGATGCAAATATTAGGATTTGTGGAGGAGATACCAGATTGTGTGGGCCGATTTTGCACATCTCCGATTTACCAAGTTTGCACCAAATCGGATACTCCATTCGAGAGTTATCGTGTGCATCAGACGTGCGGACATCGCTAGTTCGACTACAAATGTCCTGAAATGGATTTGGTGCAAAGAGACCTAGGGTCTAAAATCGTTATTTCGAGGAGGCACCTTTTTGCCGTAAGAAATGATACATACCCTCTCTAGCCTTATGGCTGAGTGTATAAAAATATTTCTGCCACCATCAACTAAAATTGAACTCTGATTGACGAACGAATTTTTTTCCAAGAAAACCTCTTAAAGAGAGAGAGAGAGAGAGAGAGAGAGAAACTCACGCAATTTTTATACCCCCCACCTTGGATAGGAGGGTATCTTAACTTTGTCATTCCGTTTGCAACATCCTTAAATATTCGTCTTAGACCCCATAAAGTATATATATTCATAATCAGCATAAAATTCTAAGTCGATTTAACGATGTCCGTCTGTCTGTCTGTCTGTCTGTCTGTCTGTCTGTTGAAATCACGATACAGCCCACATTATTTGACGTAGAACGCCAAACTTTAGTAGAGCTATTTGCATTGTGTCTAGGATGGTTGGTATTGAAAATGAGATATATCGGTCCACGTTCTGGTATAGTCCCCATATAATGCTACCTCCCGATATTCGGTATTCTGGTGATTTATGCCACATTTTTTTCTCGGATTTGTCTGAAAATTGGTATTTGTAGGTCATAACGGGTCCCTGAGCGTGTGGCAAAACATTGCATTTATAGGTCCACGTTGTGGTATAGCCCCCATATAAAGGTACCTCCCGATATTCGGTATTTTAGTTTTTTTGCCACATTTTTTTAGAGATTTGTCTAAAAATTGGTATTTGTGGGTCATAATTTGTTTCAGCTCCGGTGGCGAAACATTGCATGTATGGGTCCATGATTTGGTATAGCCCCCATATAACGGTACCTCCCGATATTCGGTAATTTGATGATTTTTGCAACTTTTTTTTACGAATTTGTCTAAAAATTGGTATTTGTTGGTCATAATTTGTTCCAGCTCCGGTGGCGAAACATTGCATGTATGGGTCCATGATTTGGTATAGCCCCCATATAACGGTACCTCCCGATATTCGGTATTTTGATGGTTTTTGCCACATTTTTTCACTGATTTGTCTAAAAATTGGTATTTGTGGGTCATAATGGGTCCTAGTTCGTGTGGCGAAACATTGTAATTATAGGTCTACGTTTTGGTGTGGCCCCCATATAACGGTACCTCCCCATAATCGGCATTTTAATGGTTTTTGCCACATTTCTTCTAATGTTTCTTTTGCCCTAAGGGGGAGGGTATTAAAAGTTTGGCCCGCCGAACTTAATGTTTTTTTACTTGTTTTCTTTTACCTGTTGCCGCACAAGCACAATGAAATATAACCCTACAACAAGAGAAAACATTTCTCCGACCAATTTGGCAGAATTCGGACATACGTCCGTGAGACATGTCGGAAAAAGATCCGACTTTGAGCAGAAGTTTCGGACGTCCGACATTTGGTTTGCTGAGAAGTTGCTCTACATTCGTTTATCAGGAGGCTATCAGATCAGTTTGTGATAGCAGAGCATTTTTCAAATTTAAGAAAAAACTATTGTTAAATTATCTTGCATTTTATCAAAGTTATTATCATTAGAGATTTCAATAGAAGAAGTGGACCGATACACCCTCAGGTTTATATTACATGTACGCTTGCTAAAAATATTGACAATTACAAAGCTAGCAGAAAATCATCGGATTGGTTGAGACTTCTAATTATTCAAAATTATGACCTTTTATCGAGGAGGTACCGCAAAGGTGGGCCGATATACCTCATATTCACACAGCATCTGTGATTTGCGAAAATATTGAGAAATACGAAAATATATTTCGTACACAAATGCACACAAATCAAACATCAAATGCAGAAACGAAAATGAGACACAAAAGACAGCTCTTGCTGAGCATTGCAGGAGAAATAACCACACACCAAACTTTGAGAATATTAAAATACTACAAACGGAGAGTAACTACAACAGGAGATTGACTTTAGAAATGTTACATATTAATAACCTACCAACAACAAAGAGAATAAACTATAAGAGCGACACCGACAACGCAGCTTATTGCTACCGCCATCTCACACAGAAAAATAGATCGTGCAATATGTAAAACAACTCAGTGCAATATTTACCACAGACGATGATAGTGAAATTCTATCGTAGGTTTAAGTAAAACTTGACACTTTTATAGATGTTTTACATGTAAGCAATATATTTATTTTCTGTGTATTTTTCTGTTTGTCTTTTATCGTTTTGTTAAATAATTTAATGCTGTGATAACATGAAATATAAAAATCAAAATGTATTTTTGTAGATCTTCCTGAAGATGCAATGTAACCCATTGCGAAATATCGGATTTTAATAAAGGAAAAAAAACCCAGACCTAAAGCTCAAAGAAATATTTATTTATTGAAAGTTCGCAAATAATTTAAAATTTTGACCCTTTGTGTGGAAGATCGCAAGAGAAGTAGTCCGTAGTAGTCACACCAGATACGAAGTTGTTAGACATATTGAGTTATGCGTAGAATAAGGTATTTATTTCATATTTTATCAGCGTTTTGTTTACTCAGCGTTTGTTGGATTTCGTCCTAAGGGACCTAGGGTCTAGAACCGTTATTTCTATGAGGTACATTTTTGCCGTATCAAATGATGTTTATATTCTATAGCCATATATAATTCCACAGTACAATCGCAACTCTGGGGTGGTTTCCTCTTTCAGAACCAGTACAATCGCAACTCTAGGGGTGGTTTCCTCTTTCAGAACCTGTATACAAACACCTGATTAGAGAAATAAACCACTCTTATGACAAGCAAATGGACGGCATTTTTTGTATTCCCTCATTTTCGGAATTTGGATGTTATAGCTGATCCAATATAAGTTTCTGGAAAAGTCCAGAGTAATAATTATTACGTCTAGAGTGAGCCGAATGTAATTTCACGATTGAATCAACTATTCTAGAAGATCAAACGACATTATCTTTGGTACCGAGAACCAGTTCACGTAAACAAAGGTGACTCATTAAAATTCTCTAGGAGTGTGTGAATAAGAAATAAGATTCCTTACCTTGTATTTGTATAAGTTTGCAATGATGGTGAGGATCCTCCAAATATAACATACTTTTACCACGATTTTGGTTAGCAAACTTTAATTGTACCTTTGGTTAACAGGAATTTAGCAGATCAAACATGCTTTCAACATCGACATTTCGCAAAAAGATAGCGAGGATAAAATTGTAGGGAAATAGGCTTTGATTTTTGAGGATAACCTTGTTTTGGTGTGAGAAGGGGAATATCCAAATCTTCCTCTTTAAACTCTTTCCATGTCTCTTCTGACCTCAGTTGGTATTTACATCCTTTATTTGTCTTCGGGATAAATCTGTTTAAACAAAATTCACCGTCGTCTGAATCATATTGTTTAGCTATGTTATCATCTGATTGATATATTAAAATCCACTTCAACTGAAGTTTCAAAATCCGGAGGATAACGCATAAATCCTTTCTGGCGTTTTTCATATGACAATCGTCTTGTAATCTTTATTCAATTCGGATTAAAAATTCAATAGGATGTCAGGAAAAATGTGACAGCAATTTCCAAGAAAAAAAAAAATAAATAAATTTAATATATTTATTTTAATAAAATTATTTATTTTCTATACACGGCTACTTAGTTCTACTTGTCGAATCGGAATCTAGAGGGCACAAAAAATAGTTAATTTCTGTGAAGTACAATATCTCACATATATTGGATACCGATGATTGTAAAGGGTATGGGAATGTCTTTTTATACCCTATACCACATAGAGGTGAGGGTATTATGTTTTTGTGCATTTGGAGAAGGAAGCGAGATAGACCCATAGTTACTCTTGAGGATCTTCATAAAATCATTTTCCGTCCGTCCATGTATTCTTGTGCACGTCGCATTTATTATCCGATTGAGAGGAAATTTTGCAAACAATATTTGTTTGGCCGAAGGACGAATCCTATTGGTGATAATCGAATCAGATTTGGATATAGCTCCCATGTATATTCAACCGATTTCGGGTTAATTGTGCACCAAATGGCTAATATAAATCCAAATGACCTGTATTTTGATACATTCGACCCAATCCAGCCTAGAAGCAAATATATCAAATTTGGTGAAATCATATATAGGGTGAGATAAAACAAACTGCAAAAAAGTCAAACGCCATAATTTTTACATACTTTTATTAAATTTTATTGAATGAAAGCGAAAAATTTCGGAAATAGCATCAGATTTTGGAATACGTTTAGATTTGTTCGAATTGGTCACCTTTGTCACGAATTATGGCCTTCAAACGGCCAATGAAAACGTCACACGCTGCCGGATTGTTGCTCTGCTGTATTTTGGCCCATTCCCGGCTTAGCGCTTCCTTAAGGTGGTCGACAATTTGGTATTTTTTAGTTCCAACCTTGCTTTCCAAAATACTCCTGCCACAATAGTCTAACGGATTGGTATGCGGAGACTTTGGCGACCATTGTGCGCTAGTAATGAAGCGAGGAACCTCATTTTGTAACCATTCTTGGGTGGCGCGTGCTAAGTGCGACGGTGCTGAGTCCTGTTGGAATTTCCAAGGTCTGCATCTCCAGAATATTTTCCCTATAATATTCGACATTTATTCTGATGCTACGGTCGATTAATACGAGCAGAGAGCGACCGACGTCTGTTATGGCGGCCCACACCATCACCATGACCGGCGCTTGAGTTCTGGTGGCCAACCGAAGGTGCACATTTTCTGCTGACTTCTTTGACAAGTAAACACGAGCGGATCATTTTTTTTGTTTATAAACTACGGGACAACGAATGTTTTCTCATTGCAGTGTAAGTTCTTGCAGTTTTTGGAATTTCAATGGCTTTACCCCGATCTCATTTTTCAATGTTTGCCGAATGGAATTTTGCGATATGTTCAGCGCACGAGCCATTTTTCCGTCACTGCGACGCGGGTTTCGATCAAGTCGCTTCTTTACTTTTCGAACAATTTCTGCTGATGTTGCTGTTTTCTTCCGTCGACTACCTTGACGGCGGGCTACGCTACCAGTATCACGGTAACGAGCGATGGTACGAGACACAAAGGATTTATTCACATTTAAATAGTTATAGCTCCCAAATTTATTTTTCATCAGATTTAGGGTTTTAAGTCCCTCACATGTCTGTATTTAACAAAAATTGTATTTGGTACCAGATACATCCCATAGATACCTCTGTCGAATTTATCGAGATCGTATCTGATTTGAATATAGCCTGATTTGAATATAGCAGGTGTATTGTGCACCAAATGCCTAATATGAGTACAAATGGATTGCATATTGGCACTTCCGACGGAATTCGGCCTACAAGCAAGTACATTAAATTTGGTGGAAATCAGTTCAGATATAGCTATAGGTCCCATATACAAGTTTCATCGGATGATCTGAATGATCTCTGATATCACATATCAGATATATAGCTCAGAAATAAGTGCCTAATATTTCGTTTAGATCGGTTCATATTTGGATATAGCTCCCATATGTATCTTTATACGATTTCAGGTTTATTGTGCACCTAATAGCTAATGTCAGCCCAAATGGACTGAATTTTGGCCGATTTGAAGTTTTTAGACTCTTGCATGCGTAATATGCCCTGTACAACAAGGATATTTGATACCGGACATCAGATAAAGCTCGAAAATACGTCTGCTAGAATTTGTCGAGATTGGGTCAGACTTTTATGTACCTTCGATATCCATTTTCATCTGATTTTTATACCCTCCACCTTGGAAAGGAGGGTATATTATCTTTGTCATTCCGTTTGTAACATCCTTAAATATTCGTCGTAGACCCCGTAATGTGTATATATTCACAATCAGCATTAAATTCTAAGTCGATTTAATAATGTCCGTCTGTCTGTCCGTCTGTCTGTTGGAATCACGATACAGTCCACATTATTTGATGTAGAGCGATTAGATTTAGCAGATAAATTTGTATTTTGTCGAGGATGGTTGGTATTGAAAATGAGATATATCGGTCCACGTTTTGGTATAGTCCCATATAACGGTACCTCCCGATATTCGGTATTTTTTCACGGATTTGTCTGATAATTGGTATTTGTATGTCATAACGGGCCTCAGTTCGTGAGGCGAGACATTGCATGCATAGGTCCACGCTTTGGTATAGTCCCCATATAACTGTACCTCCCGATAGTCGGTATTTTGATGGTTTTTGACACATTTTCTTCACGAATTTCTCTGAAAATTGGTAGGTGTAGGTCATAATGGGTCCCAGTTTGTGTGGCGAATCATTGTAATTATAGGTCCACATTTTTCCTAATTGTTTTTTTATAACCTACTCCACAAGGTGGTCAGGGTATTATGTCTTTGTGCATTTGTTTGTAACAGGCAAAAGGAAACGAGATAGACCCATAGTTCCTTTTGATGATCTGCATAGAATCACATTCTGAGTCGATTTATACATGTCCGTCTGCCCGTCCGTCCGTCTGTCCATGTATTTTTGTAAACAAAGTACAGTTCGCATTTATTGCCCTATCCAGATGAAATTTTGCACAAATCATTTGTTTGGCCCAAGGACGAACCCTATTGAAATTGGAGATAATCGGTCAAAATTTATATATATCTTCGCCCGATTTGCTTTTTTTGTGCACCAAACGTGTATATCAGTCCTAATAGTATGGAATTTTGCACGTACGATCTGATTAGACCTGAAAATAAGTATGCCAAATTTTATCGAAATCGGTTCAGATATAGCTATAGCTCCCATATATATTGTTCATCCGATTTGTTATCTTTGTCCTCCGCAGCCGTAATATGCACTCTGTAACAACAATATTTGGGTAAATATATCAAATACAGCTCAGAAATACATTTGCTAAATTTTATCGAGATCGGTTAAGATTTGGATATAGCTCCCATATATAACTTCGTCCGATTTACTTTTTAATGTGCACCAAACGTCTAATATTTGCCCAAATTGGATGAAATTTGACACTTAAGACCGAATTGAGTCTAGAAGCTAGTATGTCAAATTTGGTGAAGATCGGTTCAGATATAGCTATAGCTCCCATATATATTGTTCATCCGATTTGTTATATTTGTTACCCACATCCGTAATATGCACTCCATAACAACGATATTCAGGGAAATATATCAAATACATCTCAGAAATATCTTTGCCAAATTTTATCGAGATCGGTTCAGATATAGCTATAGCTCCCATATATATTTTTATCCGATTTCAAATTAATTGTGCACCAAATGGGCAATACAAGTCCGAATTTAAAAGATTCAAATGCTTCGGCATATTTTGTCCTTTGAACTTTAAATTATAATTATAATCATGGCGTGTATGATTGAATTCTCCCATTAAAACGTTTAATTGTTATGTGGAGCTGTACTAAATTAGCCAAGTGGTGTAGAGTATCATAAAGTCGGCCCCGCCCGACTTTGAGACTTTCTTTACTGGTTTTTATAAAGATTCATTAAAATTAAGTCGAAAGCACTAACTCCTTTATATTTGGGACTAGTAGTGCAATTTTGAAACTTATAGCATAAGGTCTGGTTAGAAGTCTGTTCGCTTGCTTAACGACAAATTTTATCCTATATCGAATACCACTACAGGACTCTGCTTTGCTTTGAGTTCCCGCATAATACAAAATACTTTCTTACAAACTAATCAGTTTCCAAATGCTATTCAATACTCCGAATCCTTTTATTATTCATAGTCTCTTCTTAAAAATTTGTTATTGCTACTTAGAGCAATACACCCAAGAGAGTGTAACACAGACAGGGTATAATAAATGTGTAATTTTTTATTGAAAATACTTCAAATAATTTTTTTTTCTGTATTTTTCCTTTAGAAACGGTGTTTTTCAATATTTTGGCAATATTATTTAGTCCATTCGAGGGCTCAAGTGTTTTTGGGAGAATTGACATAGAAGTAGTGGCATTGTCAAATCAACCGAACCACCTAGTCTCACCTCACATCAATCACTCTCATGTGTACTTTCATCTTACATAAGAGTCATTAATATCTTTGCCATCTTTCGTTTATTGCTCGACATAAATTATCTTCTTAATTTTGAAGAGCAGTCGCGTGTAAAACCTTATAAGAAACACACATAATGAGATTTTTATTCATTTGCTACACAGATGTCGGTCTGTGTGTCCGTCCGTCTCAATAGAACAAATGGGGATCTTTGGATGTCGTCAACATGTGAACATCTTGGATACGACGTTTCCTCAGAGCTATGAGCACTATGAGTATGTACGTACCTACGAGTACATAGGGTAAGTGTGCCTAAGTTCGGCATGTCCCAGTAGTCGGCACTTTTTATTTTTAAGCCCAAATAAATGAAACTATTATAACTAAATGTATTTTGTTTACTTCCAATATATTGTCTGCTATCTTTGTGTACAATTTCGCTAAGAAAAGATGATTTATTCTAATAAAAATTAAATTTTTGTCTGTGAAGGTCCTCAACAATACATATTCTTAAGAAAAGTACATCGAATCAGTTTAACTAAACAAAAATATTATATTTTAATGAATTAATTTATTATTATTATTCACTATTCTTACAAAAAATTGGT